TAATCATTAGCAAAAGCGTGAGTTGTTGCGAGATGTGAGACCTATCTTTGAATTTTGTATCTTTATCTTTAGGCTTCGGAGTGCGTCCTTGTAAGTTCATATAGTGCAAATAGTAACCAAATCAATGTTTGTTTCATATCTACCAAAGTATAGCATATCACGAACTTAACCAATATAGGACCAAATTGGGAAGTGTTGTGCATCTAAAATCTTCTTAGAGAACTAAAATCTTCGCCAAACAAAGAACAGAATCAACATTCCAAACGCAGCCTTAATTGTATGTTGATACACTTCCCATCGCTGTAACCATCAGTAGCTATAAGCATTTCTATATTCATCGATGTAAATTATATATCAATTAATCTTCTGTAACTCAAGCTAGCATCTCTATTCGATTTCAAATCCTTGAGAAACCAATCCACCTCGCTTGCTTTGTTTAAAGCCCAATGAAACCAGATTCAAAAATTCGTCGCACCACACAATATCTCAACCACCGAAGAACACAACTCTTAGAGAGCAAAGCCAAGTAAAACCAACACCAAAAATTCATCGCAACAAACAATATCCGTATATTACCTAGGGTTTATAATAAAACTCATGAACAACTATATTAAACCTAAAAACACAAACGGCGACTCTATATTTTATGAGAGGAGATGTATAAGATCGATATAGTGCATGTATATATAGAGCTAGGGTTACGCCAATCGAAAGTTTCATATTTATATGATAAAAATATGCTCATGCCCAATATAATTTAATCATACCAATTGTTTTTTGGTCCAAAATTATTCGATGGCAAAAGATGTAATTTTGAGATTCATTAAGGGAAATATAGACAAACAAAGTCTTAAATTCACTCTGGAGATAGACCTATAGGATTTTTGACCTCACAATTATATATAGAGATATAGAGATAGTATAAAACTTCGCATGTTACGAAATCCACAATTTTTTTGCCAGACTAATGGAAGTGTGTGGATATTGTTAAAAGTGGATATTGGTTTTCTTTCAATAACTCAACTCTCTATTCCTTAAACTTAGCAATTTCACATGGTGATCCTCTTCTCAATGCAAAGATCTGGAAATTAGAAATTATGCGAAAACTAAGTGGGTGATTGGTTCGGCTGTAGCTGTAGATTAATTGTTGTAGAATTTTTGCTGTAAATGTTTTGGTTGTAGCTGTACATTTTTTAGGCTGTACATTTTTAGGCTGCAGATTTTTTTGTTGTACATATTAAGCTGTAGTTGTAATATTAAAATAAAAACACGATTGGTAACTATAAGATATGTGCTGTAGTTTTAATTAAATTAATTTATGCAATAAAAAGACTATCATATCATCTTCTAAAAGCTATGTATAGATCTCTATGTGTAGAGTAAATAAAAAATACAGAAAACATTCATGAAGAGAAGATGGAGACAAAAATAAACAAAAAAAAATTGTATAATCTAGAAAAGAGACTCACTGATTTGATTTGTGGTGAAGAGAAAATAAGAAGACGTGTTTCTTCAAACCTTTGTGACGGCA